CCCCCTCCAACCAAATTTTCTCTGTACTCTGTGTTTCTATAGCAACCCAGAGAACGTAAAAGAAACAAAGCAGCGAAACTAAGAAATAAACATGCCAACAAAGAATCCGATCAAATAACGCGGGGAAATCCACAAAATCCAACATGTATGTCATCCCATTCTCAGACAGTTTTTTCCCCCCCACTGTCTAATCCTTCTTGTTTCCTTCCCTGCCTGTTTCACATTATTTTTTCCCTCTAAACTCACACGTATCTAACTTAATAAATAAAAATTTATAAAGAAGGCAACAACCCCCAAAAGACAATAAAAAAGAAACCTACAGCCTTAAAAAAAAATTTCGTCCAAGAACCTGTCTCATTTTGTTGGTGAGGCGCAGGAATATATCACACATGATATCTCGGAGTGTATTCCCTCTCCATTCTACTTCCATCACTTTCCGCCATGCCAACGAGGGGGGAGGCAACTACGGATTCCTCCAGCTCTCGAGTTGTGGTTCTTGATAAGCCTCAGCCAGAAAGCAGTGATATTATTTTGGCGGCTTGTCTAACTTCTCCGCCACCCTCCCCGCGCGTTGAAACTTTGGCTGTTAACCGTTAACCCGCGCAGATGTGAGTGGAAGAGTAATGTATTATTGTACGTCTCTGGTGACCGCGTGCAGTACTCTTTCCTCTCCCCCATAACTTTCCCTTTCACCCATCATCCCCAGCCCCCTCCTTTTCCTCTATCTCTTATACCCCCCCTTTTTTTTTCTTCTCCAAGCAGACACTAGACACGAATGGTCGCCTGTTTTTATCATTCCCCCTCTCCCGTCCCCCTCTGCAACAGTCGCCTTTTTGTTATTTAAAAAAACACCAAAAAACCAAATGTTTCATCACCCCACGCGCTGTGCAAGCCGTGGTTGCTATACGTAAAGATGCAGACACACACTGAGCTGAGAATCTCTGGATGAATAGTGCTGTGACTGTGAATAGTGAATATTCAATAAAGAATGCTGCTGAAAGACTCATAGTATTTGGCCTCACCTTTGGCTTATATGTACATGTATAAGAAAAAAACTATTCGCACACAGTATTCGAATAGCACGAATAGTGACATCGCGCTTTGAAGTTTCTATGATTTTAAAAAAAATTTTAATGGCACAGCACTGCTAAACAGGATAGGATCGCTCTGGGGCACCTGGTGGTTGTCACGGTCCAGTTATGGGCTGTAATCTGAAAAAAGAAACCCGCCAACTTTTGAAATATGGGCTCTCTGGAAAAAGCCTCTAAAAGTGAAAACTTGACTTTTTTAGGATGAAACATCAAGCGTTATCGATTCTTTAGATATTCAGGTATCCAAAAATGGATAAAGTCAAAAATCGATTTTTTTATCAAAACTTTGTTTTGCAGACCCTGTGACATGCCTTAAGCGGCAATGATTTGGGGGATGACTTCCCGCCTTGATGATGACTAACCACCTTAACCTTTTCAATAGTGTTTTGTTTTTATAGGCTGTCTGCCGTGTGTTACTCTGTGTTTACAATTCAAATCTTATTTTCTATGAAATGAAAACTTTCAAAATTTGCAGCCCATTGCAAAATGGACCTTTTGCTTGGAAAATTCTGTTTCTCTTCCTGGGTAAAACAAAACATGAACAGGTCGGTTTGGGAGATTTTGTTTGCTGATACATCTAAACTGCAAAAGCAGGCTGTACAGCGGCTAGCTGATTGATCATAATTCTGTTGTTTAACAGCAATTAATTTTTTTGAAAAACATAATCCGGATATGTATGTTCTAGCTTTCGGTCAATTTTGATGTCAGTTGTCATACACAAGAAAGTTATTAACATTTCTTTGAACAAACTTCTTTTTGGTGTCAGCCGGTAGTTTTTTCATTTCTAGTTTCTCACTTATCATCAGTCCTTTTCCAACACACAATTGTGTGACTGATGTTCATGGCTCTTAAAATACTGACGGTGTCTTTTTTTTTCACAGGCTACTGTTGACAGAGATTGTTATCCTTCCCCTCTCAATTACTTTGAATTCCCCAAGTCTTGTTGCACGTGAGTATAGTCATGGATTAAGCTCCTTTTACTGAAAAACTCGCATAGACCAACCTCAGTCTTTTTTGCTCACTCAAAGAAGGTGTCCCTCTATTTTTTTAGTGAATTAAAATTAATGGAATACCTAGTATTTTTCAAATACTTAGAAGAGAGCAACCAACTTGGGATTCACATAAGGCGCTTACATAGTGCAATCTCCTGCTGATGCTGCTTTGCACTTTTATCTACTGCCACAAACAAATCTGCTTTAGTCCATTTAACAGTTGATAGCTTTGCATCATAGGTCATTATGTGTTTATTGCGTGCATTACAATTGAATATATCAAATGACAAACAGTCATTTAACAAAAGACATTGCATACAGTCTAGACACAAGTATAAAACATGTGTCAGGGTGTGTGCTGGGATGGGATAGGGTCATCTTGACAGCCAGCGCACGTAAACTCACTCTTGCTGTACACAAATTCTGCATATCACAATAAGCAAAAATGTTCACGGAGAGCCTGATTTGATGGCTAAACTTTATCGAAACTTTAACAAGCATAATGTGTGTGAATAAAATGTGTTCAGTCTCTGTTAACACACTCAATCCCGTGACCGAGGTATCTCGGTCAGCTCGCGGGCTGCATTCCATCCCACGACCGAGATTACTCAGTTCTATAGTTTTGTTCCGTATACAAAACGACCTCAAGTTTTATATAAGGTCAGTTTATTATTTTTTCAACCAATTCTGCGTAGAGGGGTGCTGGAATTTTGTTTCTACTGTCATTATACATGGAGAAATGGCGGTTTTTATAAGGCACTATAAACACTTTTGTTCACTTTATCAGCTGAGCATGTCTTACAATTCGTCGCCTATCACACGAAAGGGCGTATCCCTGTTTTCTTACTTTTTCAGGAGAGCGATTTAAAGATTTTCAGACTTTGGTTGCTTCATCCTTTTCCCTTGTCATTTTAGTAAATGGCATCCTACCATTGGGATATTTGGATATTGTGGGCATGATAAGATATCAAACAATCAGCATACGCCCTTTCGTGTGATTGTTCAATTTTTCGTCCTGTCCAAAATCAGTGTACGCCCATGTATACGCCCTGTGTTTGAGTGTTCACACAATTAATTTCAGTCTTCAGACTGACCAGTAGAGGATAAAATTCCTCCAAGACATCACTCCTCACTCCCCCATCCCCCCGCCAAATCTTCCCCTTTCTCTTCTCCTCCCCATACCTCTCTGTCTGTCTGTCTGTCTGTCTGTCTGTCTGTCTGTCTGTCTGTCTGTCTGTCTGTCTGTCTGTCTGTCTGTCTGTCTGGAAATCTGGAAAGTCTCCTCTTGTAGAACAAATCATCTTCATGTGAAATTAGAAAGTGTATGACCTGCTGGAGATCAAAGTTTTTTTTCACGAACATGTCATACATTTTGGACGACGTGAGGTCTGGGTTGAGATGCTCTTTGCTGGAAGAGGCCCTACAGTAGTGCGATTCCACGCGTGGAAATCTGTCAATGTGTTGACTGGTTATCTCCCTGTTTTGTTGTTCTCTTGTCTTCATCTGCTGCGATCGCCTGCCCCCTCACTTGTCTTCTTCCACAATGCCGGTCTCCTTAATCTTTGACAAAACAACTCGGGCACATTTCTCTGAAATACCCAAGGCTGCAAGGAATGTGTTCATACACACTTCCAAGCACTTTCCATTGACTGTGATGTAATAAGCATGCGTTTTGTTGCGTCGAGAGTTTGGTTTCCCGACCTTGGGCTCTGTCATCTCAATATGCCACGCAACGAACTTTCGCTGCTTCTGCAGGTCAGCCAGTTTATAAAAGTCCTGAAATATCTCCCTCCTATCCGTTCCTTAGATTCCAGAACACTGATGGCAATGGCAAGCTCTTGTACATTCCATTCCAACGCAGCCCTTTCTCATCATTTGTGCTGGAACAACCTTTTTCGTGTCGGCGCTCATGTACTCTTCGCCAGATTGTCGCTTTCTTTTTGCATCGTTCTTCGTGTTGATTCTCTTCTGTTTCTTTGGGGACGCCTGGCGGGCTGACCCTTCAACTTCAAATGATCCTGGTAGCCGTTCGTTGCTACTCTGGGTCTCATCGGTCTCAAAATCATTGTGCGCTATGGATTCAGAGTCTGTTGATTGCCCCGTCTTTCCACGTTGACAACAAAATACTGGAACTTCTAGGAAATGATCACAGTAGAGGAGAACTGGTGCATGATGCAAATACTTCAGTTTTGCATTTTTTTTACTTCACTTTAGCCTGGTTTGAAAGATGGGTCCGAATCATCGAAGTCACCCAGACCAAGAGACGTGTCTTCATTCTCAGCCTCGTGTTGATCATGACATTCAATTGTCAATGTGGGCCTACATTTCCTAAGTTTAGCTAACGGAATGTCATCTGCCAAAGTCGGAGTCACTTTCATTGAAATGCGAACTTGCCATTCTGGGCCTAAAACACAAGAAAAATCCCGATAGTCTGAGTACAAGCTAAAGAGCAATTTAGGTTGAGTTTCTTGTGTGTGTGTGTGTGTGTGTGTATGTGAAATATGAAGATTCAGGGGCTTCTTACATGGCTTCCCTAGTAGACCTGTCTTCGGATCAATATAACAGTCTTAAGTCCTGATGTTTTTATCACTTCAGTCAGTAGCACTGCACATTGGGTTTGTGGGGGGGGGGTCTAGATAACGTCGCCTTCCAGTTAATGAGTGTAGAATAATACGCTAATGGAAAAACATTTTAAATATAGCTGAGCAATATTCATGTGTATAATTGGACAAAAAGTAGATCATTTAAATTTGATCAAACCCAAGTTTGCTTTTTTCTAATGGTTTCCAATCGTCAGCAGGCAAGCAGATCATGTTGTGTGTGACAGTAAGCTGCAAGCAACAGTAACCAAGTGTAGGTTAACAACACAATAAGGCCCGCCTCATTTTCACTCTTGCACAAACAGGATTCGCTGCAACACAGTGCGTGCACTCTGTGTTGTGTATCAGGCCTTGCATCATTAGAGGAGGGCCTAGTGTTACTATGATATTACGTTATATGGCCTTGGCCTATGCCAGAAAAAAAAGACAAAAATATTCCTGTCGCTCACATGAAGGGGCGTATCCAAGGTATACGTCCTTTCGTGCGAATAGAATTGATCAATTTTTTGCACACGAAACGGCGTAAGCCTGTGTACGCCGTTTCGTCTGATTCGGCGGCGCTGATTGTTAGTGTACGCCCTTTTGGATTTTTTACTGCTAGTACTGTTATGTTAAAGCTAAGGATACGCCGTTTCGTGTGAACATAGATCTGAGGCAGCGCTATCGACTAGTAGTAACAACTCAAAACTGCCAAAATCTGGAATACGCCCTTTCGTGTGATAGGCGACGAATTGATTCTCTCTGTCTTTCTCACACATAATACATTTTTTTTAATTCATGAAAATATTCAACAGTATTATACATGGCATACAGTACATAGACCTAGACACTGACAAGCATATATTTGAATATCAATGTAGGCTTGCTCTTGCTCATTCGGCCTTGAAAAAAGCCTCCAAAAATGCCAAATTTGTACAACACTCCAAAGCAAAATTACTAAAGCTACATACTTCAAGTTTGGTACATCTATAAGATCCATCTTAGGTTGTATTTTGTGCCAAATTTGTAAAATAATTGGATTATATTTATGGTTAATAGTTGGCCCTTACATTAGTGCCAAAATGTCGGTTTCTGGATACAATTTCAGGAAACTCTCCTGGGAATGAGTGAGTAAAAGAAAATTTAGTGTGAAGTAAACTTAGTAATAAATCTAGAATCGGACACATTTAATCTTATTTGAAGTTGGTTTGTGAGTTTTCATTATTTTCAATTAGTAGATGAGCATTTCTAAGTTTATTATAAAAAGATGCAAACCAAATGATTGGAATTTCTGAACCACAGTCTAATGGTACTCTGCTTTTAGTAGATGAGCGTTTCTAAGTTTATTATAAAAAGATGCAAACCAAATGATTGGAATTTCTGAACCACAGTCTAATGGTACTGTGCTTTTAGTAGATGAGCGTTTCTAAGTTAATTATAAAAAGATGCAAACCAAATGATTGGAATTTCTGAACCACAGTCTAATGGTACTGTGCTTTTAGTAGATGAGCGTTTCTAAGTTAATTATAAAAAGATGCAAACCAAATGATTGGAATTTCTGAACCACAGTCTAATGGTACTGTGCTTTTAGTAGATGAGCGTTTCTAAGTTTATTATAAAAAGATGCAAACCAAATGATTGGAATTTCTGAACCACAGTCTAATGGTACTCTGCTTTTAGTAGATGAGCGTTTCTAAGTTAATTATAAAAAGATGCAAACCAAATGATTGGAATTTCTGAACCACAGTCTAATGGTACTGTGCTTTTAGTAGATGAGCGTTTCTAAGTTTATTATAAAAAGATGCAAACCAAATGATTAGAATTTCTGAACCACAGTCTAATGGTACTGTGCTTTTAGTAGATGAGCGTTTCTAAGTTTATTATAAAAAGATGCAAACCAAATGATTGGAATTACAGAACAACAATCTAATGATACTGTGCTTTTTTAATATCCATAGATCAATCAATGAAGTTATATGCCATGGCATCCCAGATATGAGACCCTTGCAAGATGGAGACATAATGAATGGTAAGTAAATTACTTGTTACAGTGTTTTACAGGCTCAGCACTGCAATACAAAATGTGGTATATAACATATGTGAGGCTGCGTGGTGAAATCAGGCGCTTGTCAAAATAATGAAATTGAAGAAACTGGCATTTTTCTGCCAATTTGGTAATTTTTAACGAATTTTTGTTTTTTGACATAACACAATTGTTGTCAAAGAACACATTTCTGTGTGGGTTTTTTCTTCTGACCTTTTTTACTATCACATCTTGTCTCTGCTGGGGATATACCATTTTTAAAATGCATGTAAACAAAGCAGAGTCACATGACCTCAAAACAACTGCTGATTGCTTGTCTGGGCAGGTAGGGGGAAATAAATCTCAACTCTGCGCTGATATCTCTTGTTTTCCCCTTGTGCTCTTTGGACATCGCTGGTCTTTCCCTTGTACTCATTGGACATCGTTGGTTCCCTTGCCTGCAATTTTTCCTCGCGAGCTTTGAGACGGACTGTGATGGTTTTTCTACATGGTGAAAATATGTCAAGACTAATAAATGCTATGAAAAGCTCTTTCTCAAAAAATGGACAACGCCGGGTTTTCCCCTTGCACCCTTCATATTTATATATATTTATGCCCCATAATCATGAGATTGCAAGTGGGGGTTCAAGCCTTAGCTCGGTCCAACATCTTGTCCTTGAGAAAGGCACTATACATGAATTTCCCATTAAGCTCGGTCCTTTCGGAGATGGACATTAAACTTGGAGGTCCCGCCTCTTAAATAACCTAATAGTGTTGATACAGGAGTTAAACCTGTACTGTATCCCCATTTTACCATTTAGCAGGCTCCCCGTGGGTTGGGGGCAGTAAATAAACCCACTGCTCCACCAGCAGGAGGTGCGACCTCTCCAATGGTGAAATGTCACCAATGACCATCTACACTCAGGTGCGCATGGGCGACATTTACTAGGTGTACCGTCTTTCCTCCTTCCCTGAGCTGACAAGGGGAAAAAATAAAAATAGTTGGCTGTTCCATCAACAAAGGATGCAAACCTCCCTGCTAATGGTATGCCACTCGTACGGCACTAGCTCTCTGACATAGGGTGGCATTTTTTGTTCATTCTTGCTATATCTTCTGTCCATCTATCTTTTTTCCTATTTGTCGACCGAAGGTCCGGTTTAGATAATGACCATCTACACTCAGGTGCGCATGGGCGACATTTACTAGGTGTACCGTCTTTCCTCCTTCCCTGAGCTGACAAGGGGAAAAAATAAAAATAGTTGGCTGTTCCATCAACAAAGGATGCAAACCTCCCTGCTAATGGTATGCCACTCGTACGGCACTAGCTCTCTGACATAGGGTGGCATTTTTTGTTCATTCTTGCTATATCTTCTGTCCATCTATCTTTTTTCCTATTTGTCGACCGAAGGTCCGGTTTAGATAATGACCATCTACACTCAGGTGCGCATGGGCGACATTTACTAGGTGTACCGTCTTTCCTCCTTCCCTGAGCTGACAAGGAGAAAAAATAAAAATAGTTGGCTGTTCCATCAACAAAGGATGCAAACCTCCCTGCTAATGGTATGCCACTCGTACGGCACTAGCTCTCTGACATAGGGTGGCATTTTTTGTTCATTCTTGCTATATCTTCTGTCCATCTATCTTTTTTCCTATTTGTCGACCGAAGGTCCGGTTTAGATAATGACCATCTACACTCAGGTGCGCATGGGCGACATTTACTAGGTGTACCGTCTTTCCTCCTTCCCTGAGCTGACAAGGGGAAAAAATAAAAATAGTTGGCTGTTCCATCAACAAAGGATGCAAACCTCCCTGCTAATGGTATGCCACTCGTACGGCACTAGCTCTCTGACATAGGGTGGCATTTTTTGTTCATTCTTGCTATATCTTCTGTCCATCTATCTTTTTTCCTATTTGTCGACCGAAGGTCCGGTTTAGATAAAAAATAAACCCTGAATCCCCTCAACATGAAGCACCCTGCTGACCGTGAGGTGCAACCCATACGACCAGAGAAAGGGATCCCAGTGGCTGAAGTGTGGCTATCCTCGCCAACACGCCACCTTGGCCCTGGGTTCGGTATACACGGGCCGGTGTAGAGGCCTACTGTACACTCAATCGGTTACTACTGGTTCATAGAACTAGTTTTTTTTATCAAACTTGGTTGGAAGGCAAGATTTCTTGCTGTCTGATTGGGAGTAGCCTATGTCTCCAGGGTAGCCCTGACACCAGCTATGGACTTCCGAGCGGTGTCCCCTTGTTGGACTCTGTGGCGGGTGGGGATCCCTGAAGATGAACAAAAACGTTTATACCTATGGATAATAAAAAATATGTCTTCCCCCTACCCTAATTCCCAGCAAGTCCCTGTCAGGAGGAGCGGGTGCGAATCCTGGCCAGGGCAAGTGAAAAAGACTGAGAGAAGACGATAATATTATTATCTGGGACCTGCCTAAATAGACAACGCCAGGATGATTACCTTACCTGGTGATGTCCGAAGCTAATCAGGCAAAGAAAATAACTTCACTATGTGTCTTTGCTATGTCAAAGATTTCAGAGCCTGCGGCATTCCTAGACCCAAGAAAATCTCCCCCAGGGGTCAGGCTACCATTTGGTGGAGGTTGCCAACTTGGCTGATTCCGTACAGTTACGGAAATGTATGTCGTTTGGCGGCATCCCTGTAAATTTTGAGCCTCACAGGAGTCTCAATACTTCCAGGGGTGTTGTAAAGAGCTTTCGCCTGGACGGCTGTAGTGAGGTAGAAATGGGGCGAGAACTGGCAGGCGTTACCTGCGATTGTCGTGTCATAGTGCAGCGAGATGGAAAAGAGATCAGCACCAACACTTGGATATTGACTTTTGACTGGAAGTTAAGCCATACATTCCTGTAGACCTGGATGTTTTCAGGCAATTGCCTGTTTTCCGGCAATCGCAAAATGGGGAAATTTTCCTGCTAAAAGCTAATAAAGTACTCAAATTGGGTGCAAGAGTCGGTTGCCGGTTTATTGCCGAGCCTGAATTCCACCTAACTTACTTAAGATTTGTGAATGCCTGCAACCAAAGCCAACATTCCGGCAATGATTGCCTGAATTTAAGAGAAAATGCGAAAGTGAATTGTAACGACGACTTCTCGGCACAGGCCATGTGCCGTGTGCAGCGGTGTGCTTGGAATCTTCGTCTTGTTATCAATGGCGGTGTTTATAACAAACCTTAGGCTTTGCATGATATCTGTGAATCAAGTGTAGACTAGATCTAAATTTGATTGTGAATTTCTAATTACATGTAAGTGTAGTTCCAGTTTCTGCAGTGTTGAAATATTCTAGATCTATGAAGATAGATTAATATATCATTAGAAGGTCTAGAATCTAGATCTTTAGAGATTAGATCTAGATTCTAGGCCTAGACTGATTTCATCATGACTGAAAAGTTAGTTGAATTGAACGGCCAAAAAGTGAAAGCAATCTCACCAGCCTTCCCGTTAACAATAAGAAACAAAAGAGATGGTAGAGAGTTGGTGATCAGGGGATTTTGCTTGCAGGATGAAGGGTACAGTATGATGAGTACATTTTTTATTTAGCTAAATTTAAATGAATCCTCATCTTAATTTAAGGTAAACAAAATGTTAATGTTTATCAATATAAATTGGATATTGGAATAATTCAAGGAAAATGTGCCAGGAGATAGGGGTTTAAGTATTGGTGGGGATGAAAATAAGGTGAACAAAATGTTAATGTTAATTGTTATTGATATAATAAATTGATATAATTCAAGGAAAATGTTCAGGGAGACAGGGTTTTGGGCATTAGTTAATTGTGATGAAAATGTTTCAGCTTCAGGAGGACTTTGTCCCCCTGACCCCCTGCCAGGGCTACGCCCTGGACCTGATGCATTCATAGTTTTCAGGCAATAATGCTGTGCCAGGTATAGTTCCTAACCCGATGCGTTGCTTTAATTGTCAGCCCTTCGGACATACGAAATTAGAATGCAGGCGAAATGCTGTCTGCCCCCTGGCTGTGGGAAGGCGGGTCACTCAGAGGAGTCCTGCTCGTCAGCTCCTCAGTGCCCAAATTACCAGCAGGGAGGACATTGAGCATGTTTAAAGAACTGTCCCAAGTATTCTCAAGAAAAGATAATCTTGACCCGCCGAGCAAAGTTGGGTGGCTTCTTTGCCCAGGCTGAGGCAGGCGTCTTTCAATGGGATCAGATTCGACACAGACAGAAGTCATACCCTGATGCTGCGAAAGCAGGCCCCAGACCAGCTAACACTAAAACAAAAATAAAAACTAGAAACAATAGGACACCAAATACATCATCCAGCGAATATACAAATCTAAAAAAGCGCCACGAAAACCATCCTCATCCCCTCCAAAATCTCTCTCACCTTCATCTTCATCACCCTCATCATCTCCCCCTTCATCCTCACCACCCTCACCATCTCCACCTTCATCATCACCACCCTCACCATCTCCACCTTCATCCTCACCACCTTCATCATCTCCACTTTCATCCTCACCACCTTCATCATCTCCACCTTCATCCTCACCACCTTCATGATCTCCACTTTATCCTCACCACCATCCCAGGGAAGCATCCTTTCTCCTCTCCTATTTAAAATAAAAATAAATTCCATCGTAAAGACCCTCCAAAATGACATAGACAGCTCGTTAAACGTTGACTTCTTGATATGCTGCCATTCGAAAAACCCTCAACTAAGATCTATGGAAAGGCAACTGCAAACGCAGCTGCACAAACTTGAAAAGTGGGCAAATAATAATGGCTTCAAGTTTTCCCGTCAATAACGGTTGCAGTACACTTCTGCCGATCAGGCAAACGTGTGCTGCAACCAGATTTGACGCTGTAAGAGGAAAGGATTCCCGTCCAGGACCAGGCTAGTTTCCTTGGTGTTATATTTGACAAAGAACTCGCATTCATACCACACATCAAAGACCTTCGTGTGAGGTGCCAGAAAGCATTAAACGCTTAAAAAATTTTATCGCATCCAGAGTGGGGCGGAGACTCACAACACCTTCTCCACTTGTACATCTCCCTTGTACGATCCTGGCTTGACTACGCCTGTCAAGTCTACGGATCGGCAAAACCACACATCTTAAAAATGCTAAACCCAGTACAAAACCAAGGACTCTGCCTCGCTCTGGGGGCTTTCCGCACTTCTCCGGTGGAGAGCCTTCAGGCCGAGGCAAACATACCATCACTCGCACTCAAAAAAAGACTCACACAATTCTCACTGCAATACGCAATTAAACGGAGCTCAACACCAGAGAACCCAGCGTACATAAACTACTTCTAAAACATGGAAAACTCATCAAACCCTTCGGCCTCAGAGTCCTTGAGGACCTCAAAAACATGCATTTTTCCAAACAAGACATCCAACAATTTCTTTTCCCTGACCTCCCTCCATGGCACCTCACCAAGGCAAAAGTAGACTTACAGCTGACCACACACAACGAAGCAAGCACAAACACCAACATTTAAAGCAGAATACAAAAAAAACTTTAGAAAAATACTCAGGTGCGGAGCTAATCTTCACAGACGGCCCCAATTCGGACTCTGCTGTGGGCGCCACAGCCCTATCTTCAAACAGTACTCATCGGAGGAGACTCCATCCCAAAGCCTCCATTTTCTCTGTGGAGGCCACTGCCATTGACATGGCACTGGACTCTGTAGAAAATTCTCCCTACAAATCTTTCCTTATCCTTTCTGACTCTCTGTCTTGCATCACCTCACTTACAAACTACACACTTCTCTATACCCAAACATAGTTAGGCTACACAAAAAAAATACACGTCTTGAATGAAACCGGGAAAAGTATTGTGTTCGCATGGCTACCAAGCAACCATGTGGGCATGCGAGGAAACGAGCTGGTAGATCTCCTGGCGAAGGAATCCTTGTCCCTCCTGTTGGGATCATCGATGAACTCTGTCCCACAGACTGACTTTTAAAATAAAGTAAAAGACTACACCTCCAGTCTGTGGGAGACTCATTGGAGGACTCAAACCAACAACAAACTCCACAACATTAAGCCCAAACTGAGTCCATGAAAAATCATGTATTTTTTACTGGATTATGCATCTTACACATGGCCCTGACACATCAATACCTCCTTCAGGGAGATGAGAAGCCGGTCTGTGTCGGATGCGACACAGATTTTACCATTAGACACATTTAAACAGAATGTCTAGACTTCTGAGAGATCTGAAGAAAATATTTTAGATGCAAAAAATTGCAAGGTCTGTTTTCCGTCGTTGATCCCAACAGAATTCTAGATTTTATGAAGGCCATTGGCCTGTATGGATTTGTTTGAAATCTTAAAATGTTATTTAGAAAGTTGTTTTGAATTTTAAAAATCTATTTGCACTCAATTTTTTACATTTTAATTAGAAATATTGACCAAAATCAGGCCGTGCGGTGAACTATTAAGAATAAAACAAACTTGCGCACGCTCCCCTGTTTCGGGGTACCTGCCTTGTCCCCGATGTTTCGCACGCTCATATGACCTTATGCATTTGCGAGCGCCGTAAGACTCTTACTAAACTAAACTAACTTGCCGATCTAAAAATCTATCGAGTAAGATTATAAAGAAACCCGCCTCCTTACATGCGACACAATGTCTAGTCGTATGTGAACGTCGCCTGCGATTGGTCCATGTAGCAATTGAGGGCCTTGTCGTGTGCGGCAGACTGTATAGAGAATCGCGATTAGTCAAAATATCTAACCAAGGAGTGCAGGTCGACACACTGTGTGTGGTGTGTGTGTGTGTGTGTGTGTTTGTATGTGTGTGGGATGTTCATCTTCAATTCCACCCAATGCAGGTTTTGTGAATCTAATTTTACTGTTTTGCTTTTTTAACGGACAGCAGGAGGAGAAGGACTGGAGGAGGAGGAGGAGGAGGAGGACTTACACAGGATTGACCATGTACGGAATAAAAAATGTCCAAGCTCGTAGAACTCAATCTGAATCTGATGGACTTTGTTCTTCCTTGTCCATCTTGACATTAAAATTTGCCACTGTCTCTCTTCTGTGAATTGCTAGTCACGCCAGGGCTTAGCCAGGCGTGTCTCGCATAAGGAGACAGTTTTGTCGCTTTTCCCCGCTCGCACTGAAAATATTGGCGCAATGTGGTCGTGCATAAGGATAAACACCTCGCAATTCATCACTAGCAACTGTCGCGCGCGACTAAATGTCGTGTCGGGCATAAGGAGACATAGGCTAAGTTTGCAGGGACCTTCAATAATAGGATTTTAGATTCTGTTGGTCAACCAACTTTTAGATGTGCTTGCAAAGACCTTAGAAAGAAAAACCCAGAATGATTTGGGTTGTTTTTTTTCTTTTTCTATTGACAGACGAAATGGAGCAAGCTATACCATTTAACTGCTGTACAAAAGTACGTGTTCAAGGAACTAGTTGAGAGTGTCACAAATTCTAATTTATTTTACTTCTGCTCCATTGATATAATTTTTCACTGAAATTTTTTTTTTGCTCTTTGTCATGTGTGGCCATCAATCCTTACATTTGTGTCACGACGCAGTGGAATCAGTTGCTCGTCAATTTTTGAGCATATGGAGTGACTGGTATCACCTTAAAGGTTATTAATTTGCCTTTCTTTCAATGTAAAAATATCCATTTATCTTGAATAGAAGTCGAGATATTTGCGATTGAAGATGGGGTCGCCTGATTTCAGAAGTAAAATTAGCGAGAAAATGGCCGCCAAAATTAGGTGGCTTGCAAAGCTTGAGTGTCCTTGGAAACTGGAATTATAAATCAACTTTTTTCGGTAAATTTCACGCAGAAATGTGTTTTAAAAGGACATTAAAGTTATTGTGCTAAAAAAAGAAATTTTGAAAAAAATTGCCAGCAGCCAAAAAAACGCCGTTTTCTATGAGTTTATTATATTGACGAGCACCTTATTTCACCACGTTGTCTCACATACAGTATTTCTTGTAAAGATGGACCAAAAGTTAAACATTTCCTTTATTTCAAAGTAAATTGTTCAGTTGTTATGACTATTGAAAGAGAGACGACTGATAGAATTCCAAGCATAGAAGATTTTTACATTAACAAATCTTTGATAAACATATAGTATTTGTTGTCTGTTTTTCCTCAGTTGATATATCGGCATACCATAGAGGATATCATGGAGATGCTAATGAGACCTTTTTTGTTGGAAATGTCAATGAAAATACCAAGAAATTAGTGAAGACTACCTATGAATGCTTGATGCTTGCTATAAATGAAGGTAAGTGAATGTGTTTTTTTGCCTAAATTCATTTCTAAGATAAATCCGTCCCAGGTGTTTTAACTCATGATAATAGCATTAAAGTGGACCTGTTTTTAGCAATGTCAGTTGAGCTTGCGCTGGTGACGAAATTTAGGTCACCATTTGCGGGCGTATTTTTGGGCCGGATCAGAATGTAGGTGACTAACTTTCTCAAATATAGTAGGCTCTATTTCTGGACCAATATAAATGGAACTTGGCTACCAATCAAAAAGGCAAACTAATGATATATGGACGTTGAATTTTGTACATATAAATTAACCTATATTTTTGGTATCCGAAACACTATTGTATTGGGTATTTTGTAAATTACTAGGTGATTGATTTTCAACGTCAAGAAGGTAAGAGATCTATCTTCTCCTATAGTTTCCTCAAATTTGAAAATTTTATGTCAATAGTAATTGTTTAGACATTGACGTAAATGTACCGCTACACCCCCCCCCTCCCCCCCCATGTCCAATCGCACGGAGACCAACCAATCATCTTTTCTCACTCTCTCGGCAAATGTGGCCTACAAATCCTTGCATGATTTACCTGAGCCCATTCATTGGTCATTTGAAATAGGGCATGGGTTGGTGGATACATTTGGTTTTTCTCTCTGTTCCCTGTCCCTTATTACATCGAAATGGGGGTGTTACCGTATCAAGGGGAAAAGAAAGCTTTCTAAAAGGGCATGTTAGATTCAATGTATTTTAAGGTTGACATGGTCTAAAGTCATCAAAGAAAGTTTTGCCATTATTTATTTTAGTCACGCTGCCAACATATTCTTAATCCCATGATGTGATACGATACTATAAATTATGAATAAATTAAATGCTCTCATCCCGACACCCTCCTTTCTCATTATAGTAATATTCACACTTAAATTTTAATAGTTAAAAAAATAACTACAAAGTGGTAAGTAAATCTGATGGCAAAAATGATTTCTCCTCCACATTGGGTTGCCAAGTTTCTTTCAAATGCTTCTATTAATTACTGACGTATTGTCGATTTTTGTACAGAATCTGTTGTTATGTGGTCCACTTTTTGAGAATGTTTTCCTATATATGTGTCCTCCATGTAATGCCACACTTTACAACCACATTATAATTTATGAACCTTTTCTTTAAATTAAAAAAGCATAATGCTCAGAATAGGAAACCATTTCTTAGGGACCAAATAAAAAAAGGGCTAAAGCGAAAAAATGCTAGACCCCGTACAAAACCAAGGACTCCCCCTTTGGTGGTCCAAAATCGATAACAGTAGGCTTCGAACGCCACCTGTGCAAAATTCAAAATGTCCTTCCAGCTGAAAATGTTTAATGTGTCTCGAGCGCTCATATAACCTTATGCAGCTGCAAGCGCGGTAAAAAACTTACC